CCCCTTGGCCCCTCACTGTGTACGACTCGAAAGTGAAGGGGGCAGGAAAAGGCGTGTGGACCAATGCTCATCTCCCAGCCCATCTTGTGTTTGGTCCGTATGAGGGCCGTGTCCTATCTGGCCATCCGGATGCCGGCAAAGAATCTGGCTATGGGTGGAAGGTTAGTGTATTCTGTGGCGTAAAACATATCAGATAAATGTATTGCAGAATGATTTTTCAGCGGTTTTCTACAAACCACCAAATATTTTAAGAGGAAATCCACTTACGCAAATAGTTGAAAAGTTCTTCACCTTCCTGTACTTTCCAGATTCGAGGTGCTGGAACAAGGAATACATGCATTGATGCTGTAGACAGTGCAATTAGTAACTGGATGCGTTACGTCAACTGTTCAAGGACTGACTGAGACCAACCTGTCTGTATTTCAGTACAAGGGGCAGATCTACTACAAGACGGACTCTGCAATTAGCAGGTCAGTATAATTCAGTAGTGAAGTCAACTTTTCCTAACCATACACCTGTCATAACGTGCTTATTGATATTTAAAGATACAGACAAGGCCAAACTAATTGAACAGGGGAGCGAGCTGATGTGCTGGTACGGAGACGATTTCGGGAAGGATCTTGGTCTATCGAGAGAGCCATCCAAGTGGAAATCAGCGAAGAAAGACGTAATAGGTGCGCAAATACGTTTCAAAACCTTATTTCCCATTCTGAAGGGAAAGTGTATTCAGAAATTGTTGGAATGAATTTGAGATGATATAGATTGATATTGTAAGGATAAATAATCCGTAACTAAGCTTACTATAATTCCAACGTGTGTGTGTGTGTGAGCATGTGCATGTGCATAAGTGTATTAGATGTATGTACATATGTATGTCTGCACATCTATTACATCAATGTATTCAAATATGTACACACACACACACACGTGTGTGTATACATACATAGACATTTGGATGCACTCGTGTGTGTGTATTTGTATATATACATTTATGTATATATATATATATATATATATATATGTATATATATATATATGTGAATTTGATATGTATGTATGTGAATATGTACATATACATATAATGATGGTTTAACTGCTGTCAGTTCATCTATTTTCTTTGATAATGTATGCACTTTCCCCGTCTGGATTCTTTTTCAGATCGACAGTGCGAATGGTCTGGCTTAGTCTACACCTCGAAAGATCTAATGCGTCCCCTAAAAGTGTTCAGAAAGCGTATTCGCACTTACACGCCGCCAACATGCTCCACGCGAGGAACCAGCAGCAGTAGTGGCTCAACCAAACAATCTTTGCGAGAAGAGGCGCCGCAGTTCCCGGAAAAGGCGTCTCATGAGACGCTGTGTCGCCAGCATGTGATGAATATAATACTGAGTGTTCGCAGTGTGATTACAAGTGTGAATCTGCTGATATCCTAAATCAACATATGTTAATACACAGTGGAAAAGAACTGTCGGAGTGTTCAGAGAGTAGGAAAAGATTTGCTGACAGTGATAAGTTGAAGAAATCCAAAAATTGAATCAGGAGAAAGGCCGTTCGAGCGTTCCGAGTGTGGAAAAAGGTTTAATCACAGTGGTCATCTGAAGACACACCAGAGGATTCACTCAGGAAAAAGGCCGTTCGAGTGTTCCGAGTGTGGAAAAAGGTTTAGTCAAAGTGGTCATCTGAAGACACACCAGAGGATTCACTCAGGAGAAAAGCCGTTCGAGTGTTCCGAGTGTGGAAAAAGGTTTAATGCAAGTGGTCATCTGAAGAAACACCAGAGGATTCACTCAGGAGAAAAGCCGTTCAAGTGTTCCGAGTGTGGAAAAAGGTTTAGTCAAAGTGTTCATCTGAAGAACACCAGAGGATTCACTCAGGAGAAAAGCCGTTCGAGTGTTCCGAGTGTGGAAAAAGGTTTAATCAAAGTGGTCATCTGAAGACACACCAGAGGATTCACTCAGGAGAAAAGTCGTTCGAGTGTTCTGAGTGTGGAAAAAGGTTTAATCAAAGTGTTCATCTGAAGATACACCAGAGGATTCACTCAGGAGAAAAGCCGTACGAGTGTTCCGAGTGTGGAAAAAGATTTAGTGAAAGTGGTTCTCTGAAGAAACACCAGAGGATTCACTCAGGAGAAAAGCCGTTCGAGTGTTCCGAGTGTGGAAAAAGATTTAGTGAAAGTGGTTCTCTGAAGAAACACCAGAGGATTCACTCAGGAGAAAAGCCGTTCGAGTGTTCCGAGTGTGGAAAAGATTTAGTGTCTCTGAAGAAACACCAGAGAATTCACTCAGGAGAAAAGCCGTTCGAGTGTTCCGAATGTGGAAAAGGTTTAATGCAAGTGGTAATCTGAAAACACCAGAAGATCCACAGAGTGCGCTGAATTATTTGTACATTTTGCTTTAGATGTGAGGCTAAGATATAAAAGGACAGGGAAACATTTTGATATTTTTTTTATTTTGTTTACACCAAATGAAGGCCTCAGCTGACTAGTTTACTTTACCCAGTACGACTATCTGAAAACCTTACTTATACTTTTTATTCAATCCTCAATGGTAGAGGGATTGTTATTAAGGAATTTGGTGCATATCAATAAAAAACGAAAGCAATTCTTGAGCAAGTTTGCTACTTATTTCCTATTTTTTGTCTCCAAAAGGATTGATTTATATATATATATATATAATACGATATATAATATTTAATCCTACAGATTCGTTTTAACTTAAATAATACTAGTCCTGAATATACTAAGTTTTGATATCCAGGAATTTTGGCGGGAAATCTTTGATCGTGACGTCATACTCGAGCACCTCTGAAGCTCAGACCTTTCAAGCACAACCAAAGATTCAACTTTTACTATGAAATTAGATAATTTCTTGAACTGTCATATCTAGAGACCATTGTGGATTATGTCTCGTGAAATCGATGGGTATGGCGAAAATGCATTATGTCACGGCTTGAAACTAGCCGTTTGATCTTGAATAAGTTACGAAACCATGTAAAAAAACTTTGAAAATGAAGAGGGATCCGTCAGTGACGGCTTTAGATGACGTTAAAGCAACTATAATATTGATGATAATAATAATGATAATTATAACAATAATAAGAATAACAGTGATAGAGGTAACATCACTATCACCATTATTATTATTGTTAGTGTCATCATTATTATCTTATCATTACAATTACCATTTTCTTTTTCCTCTCGCATTTCTTTGTGCTTTCTCTCTTTCTATCTCTCTTATCTCCTTCCCTCTCTCTATGCACACTCCCTCGCTTACAACACCCTCCTTCCCTCTCTCTCACTCTATCTTTATCTCCTTCCCTCCCCCTCTCTCACACACACTACCCCTCCCCCCTTGTTCTCCATCTCTTGGGTATCCCCCACATTTCTTACCTTTTCTCCTCCCCTCCTATCAACCTCTCAACCTCGCCATAACAAACAAGCATAAGATTGCATATTTGCTTTTCCTTACTCCCGCTCACTCACTCGAGACTCGCCTCATCAATTTGCCTTGCTTCATCCTCGTTTATCGGTTTCAACTCTTCCTCTTTCCGTCTTGTTTCAGTGTTCCTGTTTTATTTTTATAATTTTTTATCTTTTATTCATTATTTTTATTTTTTGTGGCTGACTGGGTCTATGGTATCTCTTTTTTTCTCATTTTCCATTAGATTTTGCTCTCTTTCCCCTCCTTGTGCCACCTCTTTCTCGTTTCGTTTTTTCTCTCTCTCTCTCTGTGCTGTCTTTCTATCTGTCCATGTGTGTGTGTGTGTGAGTATAAAAAGGCTCTAAAGCCTCCTATATGGATTTATTGAATTACTGGTGGCGGTAGAGATACACTGATGTAGCTGTGCACTTTTATTTAAGAACACTAGTATGAAAGGAACGCGATACGGCTCTTGGTGCTTGTGTCCGGCCTACACGCCAACGAGGTGGTACGGCCGACTACGGGCAAGCTCGCCGAGGTATGAGAATGAGAGCTTGGGTCAAGCAAGCAAAGTTAAAAGAAAAGAGGTCGGCCACCCTTATATTCTGACCAGCGGGCGCAGGCGGGCGCGAACGGACCACGTGGTCCAACCACGCGGTGAGGACCCGGTCCATGTGGCATGCTATGCAGTATGCTATATCGCTCGGCACCTACGATATAGCATACTGCATAGCATGCCACGTGGTCCGGGTCCGCGCCGCGTGGCATGCTATGCAGTATGCTATAGTGAGTCTGTCCTTCACTCTCTGTATATTCTCTCTCTCTCTCTCTCTATCTGTATATTTGTCTGTAACTAATAGCTTGCAATTTTAATTTTATACAAAACGATATATTATACCTTTCAAATCATTAAACTGCATTCTAGTGTTGCCATATTACTGCCTATTTTTGCAAAGCGCTGTTACAGGAACTGTGCAATGAAAGAAAAAAATCTTGAAGAATTTAAGAACGCAAAACATAAGTGTATGTGTGCGTGTTTGTGTTTGTCAGAAAGAGAGAGAAACAGAATGACTCACCTAAGGCTTTGTACAAGGTTTTGTTTTGAAAGTTCTTGATCTAAGCGTCCTGGTAAATGGTGCATTGGTAACGTTAATTGCAAGTCGTAATAATATTAATTTTGTTTATTATATGCTTCTTTATTGATATCATGTACTGAGGTATTTCATAATTACCCTGGTCCTTAAAATGCAAGACAGGCAGTCTTGCCTCTTTCACTCTCTCCTTGTTTAGAAATAGATCTAGGCAAAAATATATTGATATAGTCATTGCCATGATTTGAAATTTTACAACACGAGGAAAACAATGAAAAACATTGATCTAAAACAGATAACTGATACAAGATATTGGTTCAATATATATGCGGCAGCAAGACAAGAAATGCGCCTTCATTTATCAGCACTTTCCACGTCTCGAACATTGTAGCCCCCAGTATCTCCAACTACAGAATACGTTACACTGGGGCCACCAGTACAATGTGTCTGCACTGCCTGCAGCAATAAGGGCTTCAAGAATAGTCTCTTGGATTCTTGCACACGGTTTAATCCTTTCTTGGAGGAGACATTCAAGCTGCAAACAAATGGATACCATTGCTATGTACTGGAATGCAGCTCACCTAATATACAAATAATTTCAAAATGGCTAACATAAGTAGCAAATTCAATACACAAACATAAAATACGTACATCGTATCCCAAAGCGGGTAACACTGACACTTCACATCACCACAGGCACGTCACGCACGACAGGTACATCTCAGGACAGCTAGACAGCCTGCACCCTTGCATCTATGCGAGACAATTCCGCTTATGTAAAACATATCAGGTATCAGCACTTGACATAGATTACACCTACATGGAAATAATGGCACATCACTATTCTTATAAAGGCAAATACAGTATACTAATAAACACCAACCAATGCGATGATCACGTGAGGGTAGAAAATCACTGCAAGGCAGCAAGCCCAACGCCAGCGCTCTTTCCCAGACTACACCGAAGTCCTTGGGGTTACCACTGTGACTGCAACAATCCTTTAGCACTTTAACTGCCAGCTCTTACCCAGAAATACTGGCGTTATACAAGAATGTCAAAGCACAAACGCAATTTCATGAGCGTGTCAGTCAACAAAAAACCTGGTGGTGGCGCCTTGCCCAGGCTCTCCCAGCCAATCATAATACAGATTATAGGAAGACCAATCAGAACTAAGCGCTGCTCGTGCGTGAACCAATCAGCTTCAAGGATGGGAAACATTTGTACAAATGGGCTATTATCAATAATTAGTCAATGCATATTTAAATCCCATTCTTACTGTCAATATATCTCTTGATATCGGTGATCGACTCAAAACTCAACCTTCCGGTATAACCATATTCTTTCTTAATTACAGATGCTGCAAGGGGCGGGGCTACTTGTTGCCTGGGTAAATTTGGCGGGAAAACGCGGTAACGTCTTGGCCATATCAATATTTCAACTTATTTCACTGGATAAACAGGATATCTGACTCATAATGACAAATATAAATTCATTCACTTCTACATCAGCCTATACACACATACGTTTCACATAACATAGTCCACATACTAAGATATTTCAAATAAAAAATGCCAGCAGCAAAAAAATGAACAAAATTAGAACCGTTTTCTATAATAAATCATACGAATAATCGTATAATCAAAGAAAATTTAATCACTGGAAACTTACAACAAAATTCAAACTCGCAATATTCTACAAGATAATATTACACGAATCAAACGATGCATTTAATTACTGCCTCACAAATCTATTTCTGTGACACTGCCTACTAAGACTTCCATTAAAAAGTGAGATTGCATCATTTACAACAGTAAAGAATAAATAAATGAAGAAAGAATAAAAAAAAACAAATAAATATATAAATGAAAATAGTGAGGTTAACCATTAATCTGTCTTTACTTTTACTTTTATGTGAAATATTTACACAGTAATCGCGTTTCTGATAATAGATTTTCTTTAACATAAATCTGAAATTCAAGAATGACAAAGAAAGTCTGGAAAATATAAATAAAAGACTAATGTGCTACGAAGTCTTCAGCTAGGCTGCCCGTGCCTCACGCCTTGATATATTTTTGATAGCATTGAGCTCTCTTTGTCCTCTTACAGATGTAATTTGTAATTTCTTATGTTTTTTTCTTCTGAGAACAGCAAATATCAATGCTAATACCAGTTGAAGTAATGACTTCCTTGAAAGCGATCCTGAACGCAATGACTTTTGGCGGGAAATCTTTAGGTGGATTCTCGCGAACGGATTGGTCGTGACGTCACGCCCATGTAGCTCAGAGGCTTAATCTTCAACAACAACAAAAATCAAGGCGTATCTTATGATTGAGGGGCCTTCTTTTGCCTACTCGCTTAATTTTATATCAAAACATGATATTCTGTAATTATCAATGCTATAATTCATGAGTATGACGAAAACAAAACGTCATGATGACGTCACGGCCCACGCAGCACGAGGCTCCAAGTGAATCGGCTCAGTCCGAGCCTCGGCATCCGTTGATCCTTTCGACATTGGGTTCAGGGAACATTTAGACTTCTCGGCCGCATAAGTGCGATGGCTGAGGACGTAAACCAACTGTTTTCGACGGAAGAATGACTCTCCTTCCCGGAGATCGAGAAGAATCGCTTCGAGAATATCCTGAGAAACTACAAAGCGATGAAAGACTTCGGTGAGTTGTGTCGCTTCGAATGTGCATTTCACTTCCATCGGATATTTATCGGAAACGGATTATTTTCTTAAGTGAGGCCGTAGAGATGTGCCAATTCTTAAAAGAAAATATGGGTATCCACTGAAAAGGAAATTATCCCTAAAACTCTGTTTGAACCCCTCTAGGTCTGGCTTGCCTCCCCCCCCCCAAGGACAACTCACACGATATTTTTGCCTTAATTCCCCTGGCCGTAGCTTAATGCTCCCAAATTAGCAGAAACTGTTTGCGCTCATGTGATAATCATTAAAACGCTAATAGCAACAGGGGAATAAACAAGCCGTGTGCAAAATGCTTGTCATTTGCATGGACTCAAGCCCGACGCCCCTTGTGTTACCAAGGTCCACGGGACCCGCGGGGCGGCAGCGGAAGGCCACCGCCAGGCCAGACTCACGACTCCCATTCTCCGACTCGGGCATTCTGGCAAGATGGAGCTCCGAGTGGCTGTTCGATCATTGACAGATGGCGCATCGCCAGGGAGGTCTACGAGCTCCATCTTTGTAGAAAATAAGAGGTGGTGTGTTGGGTTTTGTTGGAGTGCCGAGAGGCAGAAGAGTTTGTGAAAAAGGAAATTGTAGAGAGTACAGCTAAGAGAAGGATAAGGAAACACAAAATCTCGAAGGCTTTTAGCGTCCATGTAAGACTCGTTGGTTACCTACGGAAGCGGAGGGTTAGCAAATACATTGCCTGGAAAAGCGTAACTGTGAATATATGTGGTATTTATATAATTATTGTTTTCCATTCATATGAACACATATCCCCTTCCCCACACAAAACTTATGCGCAGACATCCAAATATACATCTGAAACGCGCGCTTGCCCTTATGGAAAATGCAGACGCACATTACAATCACGGTATTACCAAAATGCTTCACTGGATCCTGGGATTTCCTTCATCACCGGCTCATACACATTTCCTCCAAAATCTCTTAAACAACTGCGGCGCACTTTCAGGATTGGACCCCAAGCTCCCGGAGTTCGTTTTGCAACGACAGAGGAAGCGATGCAACGGGTTTGTCGCGCCCACAGCCAGGCCAGCTCGAGTCCTCGACTACGATGGAGACGACGAGTGGACGCCTGAGAAGGAGAGATCTAGCAGGTAGGGCGACGATTCCACTAGGCATAGTGAATGAGAATGCATGTACAGTGCTTTTGCTGGAAGGTAATATAATGGAGGTTAATTGTTGTTGCAGGTATGCAAGCAAAAGTGGAAGCGTGGGCGGTGGAAGAAGAGGCGGTCATAAGAGGAAGGCAGAGTGGAGTGCTCCAGCTTGGGCCAGAAGGAGTGAGAACTACGATGATGCGCCACTCAGTGTAGACCAAGTAGATGTTATACCGTTGTGGACTCCAGCCAAGTTGGTGGCAGGTGCAAAGGGCACTGCCAAGGTTTGTCTTCGTGCCTTTGTCTATGTGTTTGCTTGATGTCCTCCCTTTTTTATCCAGATTCCGTGTCCGCTTCTGTTTTTGTCTGGGCATAGAAATGCAGGAGTCCTGGAACATAGTTTTTAAGCATGGGTTGTGCAGACTACGGCAGATATTGTCTATTTGGCAAGTGTGCCACGAGCAATAAATAAAGCGAATGTTGGATACCGTATGGCAATGGATTTGCATCCGCCATTTGTCTGGTGTTGATTATCTCTCTAAGGAGTGATTGGTGTGGGTGTGAGTGCCTACAGGTATGTCTGGGTGCTGGAGATCGACGGGGAGAGCCGGCTCCCCCCGACGGCTAAGGCCTAGGTAGGCCTGTTTGCTTGCTGTTGTGGTCTTGCTCTGCTAGAGGATCAGTGAGTGCTGATCTCAGCCCGGGCGCCGGAGCTGAAGTAGTGCTAAGCTGTGTCAGCTACCGGAAGCGAGGGGAGCCTGCTGTCCAATGAGCGAGCCGGGAGCTGTCCGTTCTCATCCAATCATTAGTGTTCGAGAGGCAGCTGACGTGAGGTGCTGAGGACGCAGCTGATGGACCTTGACCTAACCTGGGGAAGTATGCCACGCTGCAGGTTTCGGGGTTGGCTACAACCGTACGTTTGCGTATGCATGGGCCAAAGGCACTCTTCTCCAAGTCACTTTTTCTGAGAAAGTCCATCGTAACTCGATTTTGTAACTTCTCGTGTAGAATTTTTATTTAGGAGTGATATGAATTTTTTATTGACTAATTGCAGCGTCGCCAAGCTGAGTCATCCTATTATATCTATGCTTTATTACAAATGAAAAAATGTTCTTTGAAAATTGTTTAATCTTCCAGATAATGCCAATAACAGTCGACAGGTCAAGTGGAGCTTCCGCTGCAGAAAATGTTAAGCCAGAGGACAAGGGGATCTTTCCCGGTCCCATGTCACACTTGGCAACAGATACAGAGATGGAAACAGTGAAAGAGCTTCCAGCTGAGACTAAAACTTGGTGTAGGATCAGATGAAGAGGGCCGGGGAAACAGCTGTTTTTCAGGAGAGTCCAAGACGCGGTACCCAAGACGTAGTAGCAGAAGGAAGCTGTTTTATGAAGAGAACGTTACTAAAGATGATGATTTTATTTGTAAGAAAAAGCGTTTGTTACATCTTCATAGGTGTCGTTGCGTGTATTTCATAATCTTGAATTATTTTCATTTCATCACTTTATAAAATTGTATATGATAGTTGTGCACTTAGGATTGTACATGTAGATAGATTCAGATACCATGAATTCTATTTGTTTGCAGATTGCGCAGACTGTGAAGAAGAGAAAGAGGGAGAGTGTCCGTACCACCCATTGTTCCTTATTCTGGATAACCCCGTAAGAATGAAAATTAACTGGTGTGAAAATTTAACTAGTCACAAGCATAACTGATGATGATCATAGACACATGCACACGCACACATTTTCAAATAGCGTTATCATCCCAATGGTATGTTTGGGCAGGTTGTTCGACGGCAGCGAGAAAGATCGTGCTCGCCTCACAGCCCCTTGGCCCCTCACTGTGTACGACTCGAAAGTGAAGGGGGCAGGAAAAGGCGTGTGGACCAAT